GTTTTCTGGGTTTTTCTTTTTCAGACAGGATTTCTGTGTGTAACAGCACTGGCTGTTCTGAAACTCACTCTGTAGAACAGGCTGGCATCAAACTCACAGTGATCCACCTGCCTTTACCTCACATGTGCTGGGATTAAAGGTGTGCACCACCACCGCCAGCTGCTTGAGTACTGTTTATTCCCTTTAGACAATGTGTGTTTTCTTTGAAAAATATCCATTCAGGATGTGTCCATTTCATCCAGATTGTGTATTTTGTATGGCCGCTGAGTAGTAAAATCTTTATGTGTTTGGATGTTTGTAGACTCTGCTATATAATCTGTTTTGAGGTGATTTTTTTTTTCGATTTTGTTGGTCACCATTTTCTTATATTGGTTATTCTGTATGCTGGACATGAGCTTTAAAATGATATTCAATTCATGTATTATTTGTGTGTATGTGGGTCCATGAAGTATGTATTAAGTGTAAGTGCCTGTGCCAAGGTGAACTTGAGCAATGAGAGGACAGCCTTCAGGAGTCTGTTCTCTCCTTCCCCCATGGGTTCTGGAGCTTGAACTCATCAGGCTTGCTCAGCAGTGACTGTCATAGCTGACCATCTGGCTGGCCCTGGCCCTAGGAAGCCAAGAAGCATCTCCATCTGATGCAGTCCACCTTATCTTCTGGCTATTATAACCTTTAATTTTGAATTCATAGTTTTAAGAAATGTTTTTCATTTTTTTCTCTGGGAGTTTTTTAGTTTTAGATCATAAAGTTTAGCTTTTAATATGTTCTAGGTCAGCTTCTGAATGTGTTCTAAAAGATATCTCATTTTGTTCTTTTGTGGGAGCTTCATTAGTTCTTTCATCGTTATTTACTAAAGAGGCGGGCCATGTCCCTTTACGTGTTCTTTGAGATTTGTCAAGACTTAGTCAGGGAAGAGTTACAAGAGTCAGTGTGGGGTGGACATGATCAGAGTACATCTATGAAATGCTCAAGAGAAAAACAAAAATATTTCAATCATTGGGTACTTTTCTTTGTGTGTGTATGTTTAGCTATGAGCTCTTTATTCTGTTACATAGATCTAGATGTTTAATTCTAAGACAGGACCATTCTGTTGTGAATACTATTGATTTTCCATATTATTTTACACCCATGATAGCTTTATTTTTGTTTCTCAAAATTCTGTTTACTCCTTAGGGTCTTTTGTGTTGCTTTTGTTTCTCAAAATTCTTTTTATCCTTTAGGGTCTTTTCAGTTCCATATGAATTTAGGAGTCTATTTTATTAAATATTATGACTACAATTTTGATACATATTTTAGTCAATCTGTAATTTGCCTTGAGCAGTATGAACATTTTATGATAGTAATTCTTCCAATCTATGCAGTTTTTTAAGAGAATTTATGGGTCTTCTAGATTTTTATAACTATATCACTGCATCCAACCATCACTTGTACTAGCCAGTGTGAATATAAGCCCTGGAAAATGGGTTTAGCTTAAGAATGGGCTTATGTAGTTTCTCAAGGTAGGTGTATTTTTTCTGGTCTGTTTTGTGAAACCAGAGTGGCATTATTTTGCACATTGATCTCAAGGCTTCTAAACCACACTTTGTGTTTTTATGGTGGGATCTAAGAGGAGGCAAGCATGATGAAACTTAAATTGTAATGTAAGTCATAAATAAATGTAAGAGAAGAGCTCTATAAAATGATTAATGTTCACATGTTAAGATTAGTTTCACAGATTTTAATTCCCTTCTATTTGAATTTGATATAAAATAATAATACACATGTGATTTTGCTTTTTCTATTGTGGTTGCTGTTTTTTGCCATGCTAGGGATCACATGGCCTTGTGAGTGTTAACCACAGTACTCCATCACTGAGCTATAACCTTAGTCTCAATAACTTCAATGACTGAATAGAAAAGGATGAATTCAATAGTTACGACAGATCCTGAAGCAAAATTCACTAACCAAAAATATTTAATTATATTGACACTAAATCTAATTTTTAAAGTCTTCAAGCCAGTTTAACATCTTTACAGAATTTAGAATGACATTTGTAAATAGAATATGAACTGATATACTTAGTTAAGATGAAATCCTACTGGATTATACTGGGAATTAAACACAATGGCTAGCATCTTTTTAAGGCAAAAAGTAGGAGGAGATAAACCAAGGAAGACTATTACTCTAGACCTTTAGCCTGTACAGGTGCACAAATGGATATGCACAGTGGGTTATATGCACACTACATATACATACAAATAAACATCACACACACACACCCCAAAACTATATTCTGACCTCTACACAATATGCAGATTATAATCAATATACCACAGTGTATGCTAGGGTAAAGATAGACAGGTCTATGAGCTTAAAGAATCTAGGTAGTTTCCCAATGGAAACATCAAGATGAATTCTGAAGGATGAGGAGCAAGGAGCCTAATGTGAAAGCTTCTCCTCACTGAAGGCCCCTCTGGAAAGGGATGGCTGGCTATTCAGTACTATTGCATTCTAAAGAAAACCCATGAGTGTTGAAACAGCTAAGATGTAGATGCTACACCTGACTCTAAAAATTATTAAGTAAATATTTTAAGAAGTTCTTCAATTTTGAAAACTTTCATTTGTTTTTTTATATCTATAAAATTAAGAGAAAAACCTTTCTAGATGAACATGGAAGGCAGGAACTCAATCATGGTGAATTTGCTTAGTAAGGCAAGCAATGTAATTCTGTCCAGTTTGACGAGGTTATTATTTAGAATGTGATTCTTTTGAAGAAGGATCCTCATTGTGATGTTTAGTTCTAGAGTTTTGTTTGTTTGTTTGTTTTTAGTATAAGTTTTGCACTATTATTTTCAATTAAATACTTTTTATCATATTAATATATTCATTGTGTGTGTTCTGTATGAGTGTTCATTGTGCCGTGCCATTTATGTAGAAGTCAGAAAACAACTTTTGAGAGTCAATTCTCCCATTGTGGGGCCCAGGAATAGAATGCAGGTAGTCAAACACAGTTACCTGCTGAGACATCTCACCAGACATCACTATTACTTTTCTAAGTAGTATTGATGATAACTTTGTGAGGTTCTCACACACAGAAGGGAATAAAGGTATAAATTTGGCTCAAAGGTATAAAAATGGAAGAAAAAAGAAGATAGATAAAATTTGAGTGTATTAACATTAAAAGAACCCACTAAAATTTTATGAGGTACTTGCTGGTGACCAGAGTGCATTCTATTACAAATGCTTATTTCAGGAACATATTTGGAGAGGAGGAGATAACTGCATCTCAAAAATCACTTTTATTTTTAATTTCCATATTGTAAACAGAAAATCTCTGCCCATATTCATGCAGAGGAAGTATCCCATTTATGCACAGCACTGCTAATGTCGGCTAGAGAGAAAAATGAGACCAAGTGGGAGATAAATGCAGTATGATGCATTGTTCCCAATGCACTTCTGACCTGGCACTTAGCCAATTCTTTAGTTTGTTATATTGACAGAGCATTTCCTGTGACAGTTTGCTACCTCTGGGACTGTAAACCTAAAGTGCTTACGATTGTGTAGGCCTGAGGGAGGAGTGTGGTGATAGAGAACCCTAGAGAAGAGAGAGACAATGAATATTAACAAACACAGAAAGAAGCAGAGAAAGGAAAAGAGGATTCAAACACTGGCATGATGACTAAGAATATCCATCTTGAACACAAGCCCTGTTGTTTTTCTATGATTGTTGGCAATGGGAAAATGAGTCAGTCTAGGCAGGTCACAGAAATGGGAGGATGTGAAGGGATGGATCAGAATCATATTTGGCCCAAATCTGAGTGAATGTATTTTCTCTTTAATGCCCCTCAGAGTATGATACTGTACTCTGTTCTCAGCATTGTGTGCTCTCTTGTGTACTCAAGGAGAGAGCTTCTGGTGTCTGAGGAAGACTCCAACTGTTCAGTACACATGAACCCTCAGAGTAGACAGAGCAACCTGGGCCACTCACTAGCCATGTTGGAGAGGTGAAATGGGAAGACATGCCTGGGATAAAGAAGCCAGTGAATGTTTCCCTTCCATGGCACTTTTCATGTAGAGTAGCTATCAAATTGACAAAGGATACTCACCCTAAAGTAGCCATTCTGCTTATGCTGCAATGCTTTGTCTTCCTTAGCCCCTCAATCCTCTTCTCTCCCTCCTTCCTATGTGTTTCCAGACTCTCTTAAATCCCCTTTAGTTTCCATCCATTTTGTAGCCTCTGAGGTTGAGATTCAGCAGATTGATTTCCTGAACTCATGGATAGTGAACAGTCGCTTGAAAAACACTCTCCTGGTAAAATTTGAATTTCCCAAGGGACCATGAAGGTTTAGGTTGGTCACCACATCTTAGTCAGACCACACTTAAACTGAAACATTGTATTACACATCAGTGGGTGGGAAAGGGTAGGTTTCCTCTTTCTCAAGCTCAGAAGGAGGAAGGTGATTTCGAGAGAATCATGTCATGAGAATAATCAAGTCATGCTCATGATCTCACATTCATTCCAATTACAAAACAGGTCTGTGGGTGTGCTTGTCAAAGTGGACTTCTTACTTCCTCTCCTCCCCTCCCCTCTCCCTCTCTCTTTTCTGGTATTTCCTCCCCTCTCTCCCTATTCTTTCTTCTAGTTGCCTTTTTGAGGCAGGGTTACTCTATAGTCCAGCTGGCCTGTAACCCTGATCCTCCTGTCTCAGCCTCCAAAGAGATGAAATTACAAGTCTACACCACAATGCTGATCTCAAACTAGAATTTTAATTTAAAATGGCACATATAGAAAACAACAACAAGATCAATACAAAGACACACTCACTTTATTTAGTAGCTATATTCAGAAGTTTGTATTTCAACTCTGATGAACATACTGATTTTACAAAAGTTTAATGCTGAGTCATTGAGACTCAGGAAACAGAAACAAAGTGACCAATTCATGAACAATTTAATCACATCTTTCTATGTTGTGTTTGCTATTCTTAGTTCTAATCCTTCCCCACTTCTTTGCTTTCAAGGAAGTTTACAAGTTCGCTATCGGCTAAACAAGGAAGAAAGTCATGTGTTCACCATCAGCACAGAGAACTTGGCCAACAGAAGGGTGCATCAGGTGAAGATTAGCCGAGAGGGGCCAGAGCTTTCCATTCAGGTATTTCACTTCTCATCTTTCCACTCAGCCTACAAGCCAAGGCTTCTCCATCAAACATGTCTGAGCTCCTAAGTCCAGGCACATACTGTAGTGTAGAGTTGCCCGGGATGCCAGTCCAGCCCTGAGCCATGCTCCTTCTCACTGGCACTGTCATCACCCAGGAAACAGCTAGAAATGCAAATTTGTGAATCCCCAACTAGAGCTAATCCATCACAAACTACTGGAGAGGAAGAGAAAGCACTGTCAATTCTAGTTGTGCTCAAGTTTAATCAGGTCTTAACCAGATTGAGTTACGAAGGGATTCATGCAAAGAGGAAAGTACAGAAGACTGTAGTGGGCATAGAGTACAGAAGAGGGAACAGGTGATGTGGAGGCCCTCAGGAAGGCACAGGTCTCCTCTACACATCACTACTTCCTTCCTAGTGCAAACTGGGTCTTGACGACAAGGAAGAGCTGACTGGGTAGAAAAGGTTCTTGGATGGTTCATATGAGCACAGGCATAGCTATCAGAGAAAACAGAGTGTGATAGGCTTCTCTGAAAGATTAGTGACTCTGTATAGAGCCAACAGCATGGTAGGGCAGATCCCAATGAAGTCCAGTCAAACCTAGATGACCCCTCTTTGATCAAAACCTAAAGAGAGAATGTTCATCAGCTTAGCAATCACCAGTATGCATAGGTGAGTTTAATCCATTAATATGTGTTCTCCCCATTTATCACTTAAAATGCCCTTTTCTTTGCTGGCCAGCAACAGGTGCAATGATATTGGCCCTATCAGAAGATGACTTTGCTGTCTTCCTCTGTGAACAATGTATTCTTTAGAAGAGACATCACACATTTTCATTAGCCTATCTCCTCCTACCCTAGCTCCTCTTACCTGGACCTGGGGGCTTGTGTGCTCTCTCCCTCCCATGCCTGGCCTCAATATCTCAGCACTCTAAGACTTGTCCTACTACCTGTGAGTCAGATCTCATGACCCTCTCACAAGCACACCTCCAACATCCTCCTGTCTTCTATCCTTTTTACCACCTTTCCAGCTCCATCAATTGGCACCCTGAAGCACAGCCTATGTAATGCATCAAAAATAAGCAAGCAAACAAATCAACCAAGATCGTTCTGGCTCAAGGAAAGAAACTCATTTCTCACCAGTTTTACATATTGCTAGACTTTATCATTTTATTTTCAAATTTCTTGGAAAATTTGATATATACCAATTTCCAAAGTGTAACTTCTATGTTAGTTAGTTTATTCATTGCTATGACAAAATCCCTAAGAAACAGTTTAAATGATTCTGGCTTGCAGTTTGAGAGTGCAGTCTGATATTGTAACAGTAGCATGAGGCAGCTGGTCACATTCCATTCTTAGTCAGTTATCAGAGAGAGTTGAATGAAGGTATTCAGCTCACTTTCTACTTTTTACTTATTCAAGAATCCCAGTTTTTGGAATGGTGCCACACACATTTGAGGTGGGTCTTTCCAACTCAATCTAATCTAGAAACTCATGCACAGATATGCCTAGAAGTTTATTTCCATGATAATTCTAAATTCCATGTAGTTGACAATCAAAATTAACTATTATACTTTCCTTCCCCATAGTCCCAGCATGTTACACAAAAACTGTACTGCTCAAGATATAAATGGGGTTATTATATTTGCAGATCCCAGTGGTATAGTAGTGTGTGAAATATTTCTGGGGAGGCATGAACAAATGACTACTCACTCCACATAGAGAACAAACAGCAAACAAATATAAGGATGCCACTAAACCCAATTAGTGAACCAGTCAGATTACTAACAGGAGAATTTTTAGATTTATTGAGATTACTAATGGGAGAATAGTTGAGGGGTTACAGAGCAAACGTAATTTAAAAACAGATACATCACTACAATCCACTCCAGCGTGGGTGGCAACCTGAGGAAACCTGGCATGCAGATCAATAGGTAGGAAAGTTCTTGTTTTAAGGAAGTCAGTTTGGGGAGCTAAGGGCCTATCTCTAGTGTATCTGGTCAGTTTCAGGGACTTCCTGAAACCTTTGAGTCATTTACTTAACAAGTTTAATGAGCTTCCTGGTAGGATGTACTGTCCTATTTCCCCAGGTGTAAGTGCCACACTTCCTTACTGAGCCAAGGTCACCTGATATGGCTTGTCAAGGCATAAAACCAGACTTGGGTTGGAGGGGCCAGAGCAAGACTGAGGCACGGACAATTTTATTGAGAAAGTTTGACTTTTTATACCCTTATCAGAAAGAGAATATAGTACCAGTTGCCAGGATCAATACAGTTGTTGCCAAGATACAATGACATTTCCAAGCTGTACAAGGTACACAAGATTAATGTCTAATACCAATTGTCCTCTTAAGTTTTCATGCTTTCTTGACTTCTAAGGGAAAATACAGACACACACAAAATGGCCTGAAGGCTTTACTGCCTGAGGGAGTGCATTAGTTTCTCAGGAACTGAAAGGCACACAGTGCCCCAGGAGTCACTGACTTTAACCCAAAAAGCCTGTAATGCATGCCTCTCAAAGCAGCTAGACCAGGCCAATTCCATGGTCCCTGCACCCAAGCTTTCCTCCAATGGAGGAGGGTGCTACACAACATGGTAGTATGCCAGCCTTTTCCTTACCTGTCATATTCCTGACATCCGATACAGAGATTGCTCCCACCCTTTGGGACTTGACTTGCATGTTTTGAACAGTGCCATTCTTCTCTGATGCTTCTTCTACCCCATTAGTTGATCACTGCTGTCTCTTTGTGGGTCCTCTGTTATCTCTCTTATCCATTGGTACACACAGGACTCTGTTAGACTCCTGCGGCTTTGTAGCTATAGTTATGTGATGGTTTATTTCAATTAATCTTGTACTTTTGAATACTATGCATTTCCCAATAAATGAATGTGTAGCTTTATCCAGACCTCTCCTGATGACTTCCAACCTGTTCCCTTGTTTTTCCTATGCACTGCTCATTAGCCTTGACATATTTTATTGTTTTCTCTTCGGAACCCATCCTATCTGATATGAAATAAATATAGTTTATTTATTTATTTATATTCTATAACCCTCCTCTAGAATGTGAGTTTGATGAAAACGTGAACTTGGTTTGCATTCATTACTGCAGAGCTAGCTCCTTAGCAGTCCCTAGCAGCAGGTCTTCGGTGAACATTTGTGAACTAAGTGGATGGCTTCCACATGGCTGCAGGGGCTGTGTGATTAAGATTGATGTGACCTTGTGGAGAAGGGGGGATGTTCTCGTTTCATGGCTGTTGCTGTGTTAAATATCCTGACAAGAACCAACTTCGGGTCAGAAGGGGGTTATTTTTTACTCATAATTCCAGGTTACAGCCCACCATAAGAGCGATGTCAAGGCGGCAGGAAGTTAAAACAACTAGTTCCCTTCAACATCCAAGAGCAGAGAGAAATGAATATATATATATGATCACTTGTTTGCTTGTGTCCAGCTTGGTTTCTCTACTCTCATAGAGTTTAGGACTCCCTTACTAAAGAATGGTGCTGCTCACAGTGGGCTGGGTCTTCTTGCATCTTTTAACTTATGATAATTCCTTACATACATATCCACAGATCAATCCAATGTAGGAAATCTCTCATTAAAACTTTTCCAAGTGACTCTGGGCTGTGTCAAGTTCATTCTTAAAACAAGACAGGTGGGGTGAGTTTAGGGTTTAAGCTTATGTTTGTAATCCTATAACTTGGGAGTAAGAGTCAGGGAGATTTCTTGAACTCACTGGAGAGCCAACCTAACCTCCTCTGTGATTTCTATACCAATGAGCATACTGTTTGGAGTCTCCCTTTTAGAACTCCTTATCATCCTGTATGGAAAGATACGTTTAGCAGTGATAATGTAAAAATCAGTTAGGAAGATTGAAACATGCCACAGGGGGAGCCATGGAGAGAATTTCAGGGGGTATTAGGATGCAGCATTGGAGACCATTTTAATGTGGCCTGTGTGATAAAGTAAGAATGACTATTAGTTATTCTAATTAGATGGAAGTTCAGGAGTAATTGTTGGATATATGACACAAATAATTTCCAAACCATTAGAAATTATCCTCTTACCTGTTACAATATTCCTGAAATGAGGAGGGGGTCACACCTTTGACACGTTTGGGTTGGGTGGGGAGTGCAGCTGCTGAACTGGTGAATGGTAGGAATTGTAATGATAGCTTCCTGTTCGTATAGTCTGTGGGAGTTCCATGTATAGGCCAGAGGTCAACCTCAAGTCTCATTCCTGAGGAGGGGCAGTTCCTCCACAGTTTTTTGATACAAAGACTCTCATTGGTATAGAAGTCACAAAGGAGGTTAGGTTGGCTCTCCAGTGAGTTCAAGAGATCTCCCTGACTCTTCTTCCCAAGTTATGGGATTACAAACACATGCTACCCCACCTGACATTTTACAGGGGTTTTATGGACCAAACTCAGGTCCTTGGACTGTTGTGGCAAACACTTCACTGATTGAGCTATCCCCACAAGCTGTGTTTGTTTAGACTTTTAATGAAGTCCTGATGGAAAACTGGGGCATGTTCAGTAGAGCGTTTTACATATGAACATTTTTAGTACCTTTATATTTTCTGTGCTCTTCACAAATGAAAAAAGGAAGTGGAACACAGAGAGAGCAGTGAGATGTGTGTGTTTTCCTGCTCTGTCTATGTAATTTCCACCAGTCAATTTACAGTCAATACTAAGCAGCCACTTGCTATTTGCAAAGTGCTGAAGAGAGCAGAAAAACTAGAGCAGGAACTTCACGTTTTGATCCTTAAGTCTGTTTGTTGGCTCAGAAAGACAGCAGGCTTGTCTTTGGGACCATCCTTACACTCTCAATCCAATCTGTATTTCTTTTTCTTCATTTGTAAACAAACAAACACAACAACAGCAAAAAGCAGTCCCCTGGTGGATCCTTATTTCCTGGTTGGCCAGTAAGGAACATTTCAGGAATGCTGCCTACCTGTCAGAGAGAAAGGACACTCAGCCACCAAAACCACAAGGCTTTCCCCATAATCTTAATTTAGCTGTTCAAAATTGCCTTTTCAAGGACAGATAGACAAACCTGACTATTTGAGAACAAGGACAGAGATCCCAAGTCCAGAAACAACATGGCCATGGACAACTGTTAATATAATAATATGTGGCTTGACTAACTTATTCGTCTTTGTGACTTCTTTGTCACTATGTCATAGCATTGTAAAGAGAAAGACATTTAGAAGTATACATCTGTGTCCCGTTTTATATATTCTTTACTAAAAAAGAAATTATGGTTTAATTCACAAAACAGTGATATAGACCATGAGTCATAGTTTGTACTAAATTCATGGATAAATGACAAGGTCAGGAGGTTCCTGAAGAGAGTAACTCTTAAGGGATGTGGACAGAAAGAGTTGTGAAAGGAGGAACTGAATGGAAGGATTAGATATTAGTCCTGATCCATTTGATTTTCCCCGAGCAGAGCAAACTCCCTCACCTCGCTGTATTACTGTTTGTCTTCATTTCTAGCATATGTCGTAGAAAATGATGAGGATAGAATCATTTGTATGTTCAGAGTGGAGATTGGAGGGCAGGGGTCAGGGTGCAGTTGATAAAGCGTTTGCCTTGTCAGCCTGAGGATCTGTGTTCAGATCCCAGAAGCATTATAACGATCGAGGAGAGATGACAAACACATGCTTGTAATCCCTGTGATGTTGAGAGAGGACAGAGAGACAAGGTGATCCCTGAGAGCTGGCTAGACAGGTAGCCTAGCCTATTTGATGAAGTTCTGGGCCAAAGAGAGAGCCTGTCTCAGCCAAAAAGGGGAAGGCACCTGAAGAATGTCACCTGGGGTTGTCCCCTGGCTTTTATGTCCATACATATATACTCTTCCCCAAACAATAGAGATTGGAGGAATCTGTTGGCTCTGACTAGATTGAGAAAAATGGAGATAGATTGGTGGTGCAGCCCAGGAAGGAGAAAGAGGAGGGAGCAAACCAGAGCCAAGGATGGAGCAGTGTATGCAGCCAGAGGTGATGGCTAAGGGAGGATCCTGGAAATCAAGGCCTGGAGCACCCAGCGGTGACTTCCGCTGAGCCTGCCAGTGGGATGGGATCAGCCAGCTCTGTCAGTGGCAGCAATATGTGCAGCTTTCCTCAAGTGCTTACCAAACTATGTTCCATGATGAGGAAGCTCTGCAGTCCACACCAGAAAACAGGTCAGGGGTAGGGAGGAAGAGAAAATGGTGGTGACTGTAAGAATCAGAGGGGAGGAAGAAGTAAAAATGGGCAGTGCTGCTGGGTCTCATCTAATGTGCCACAGCAGGTACCAGATGGGCTTCTATTGTTTACTTGTTTTCAGCGAAGAATTTGGTGAAAAATTCTCAGTGGGGAGAAAATACTTGACAATAGGTCTGTAGGATCTCCAAGGGAATGTAAGCATGCCAAAGACCTTATTTTACAAGGAAGACAGAAAGGGTACTTTATGTGCATTGTGGGACAGCTCCTGGGACATTTTGAATCTCTCTTGGGAGAAAACCCCTGAGGAGACTCTACCCCTTGTAAGAACGTAAGCTGTTTACAAAAGGGATTGCTTTATGCCTTCTGAAAACCTGGACTGATGGCATTATTTTGTTCTCCTACAGGTGGACCAGCAACTCTTCAGCTATAACTTCTCCCCAGAAGCTGAGTTCAGGACAGCAAGGTCACTTACTCTAGGCAAAGTCACAGGTCTGTTTCTCTGTTCTATACTTTTCAATGGATGTTGTTAAAATTAATAAATTAGTAGTCTTTGTTGGTGTGGTCAGCGATTCACAGCTGCAGACATGACCCCCATCTGTAGTCTCCATACAGGTTTTGAAAGAGGTTTTGACACACACATATGGCAGTGGTGCAGAATGTCATTTGTATCTGCTTTATTGTTTGGTTAGTTCGTTGTTAATGGTTAGTTATTTGTGGTAATTATTTTGTTGGTTAAGTGTCAGTAATTGGGCAGAAAGGTAAAAAAAAAGTAAAATAATATTTTAATTTAAAATTTACATTTATTAATTATTTTTTCAGAAAGCCAACATTTTACCTGAATTTCCTTAGTTTTAACCTAAAGGGATGAAGTAGGAAGCTGAGCAGCAGGATGAGGATTGAAATCTCCATTAGAAGAGTGGGTTCCCCTCTTGTTCTCATACAGGTTTTGTGAATTTTCACTTTCTATTGGAGAACGTTTATTGCCTGTACAGCACTGAACTTTTCATACATTCCTGAAGAATAGGATATTTTAAACAATATCCAATCCTTAACAATAATGTTTAGACCTTGAATATATTTTGTTTATAACAGGCAGTTGCTTTGTTCACAATTTGGTCAACCTTTCCTTTTAATTTATTTTTTCCTTTTTTAGACTCATGTATTACCTTGTGTAGAACACACAACTAAGTTTAATTTTAAGTATTGCACATGCATACATGTACAATGTGTGGTGTATGCACACTCACATTGTGACTGTGGGCAAGTATGTGGCACGAGATGCTTTTGGAGATCAACAACCTTGTTTGAGACAGGATCGTTAGTACTGTGCTTTGTGCACAAATGGAGAGCATCCTGGTTTATGAGCTTCCAGTGATTCTGTCTCCTCCTATCATTCCAAAAGAGCACTGGAATTTCAGATACCTGGATAGTCTGGCTTTACTTGGGTTCTGAGGATTGAAACTCAGATTTTCAAGAAGCTATCATCTCCCTAGCACCAGTGTTTGTTTGTTTGTTTTAACTATCTATATAATCTGGAGATCTGTGCTTTACAAATTAGTAATTGCAAGTCTTTTTCAGATTTTGAAATCACTTGTACATTGGGACTTCTACCTGTCGCCTTATTTCCTACTGAGTCAGCTATTTTTGTGACTCTCTCAGGTTCTCTGTGGTTGTGTTGATCACAGTACAGTTTAGAAATCATTTACAACTTTGGGTATCTTAAGCAGGAATAGACAACATAAGAAATCACTTTCTTATGAAAGTTTTGCAGCCCTCAACTCTGAGTCTTGATAGCACCTTTTGGAATGGCTTCTTACAAACTCTGAGGGTCTTTGTGGGAAATGTAGGGGTGCTCTCGTTTACCTACTAATCCCCAACTAGAAGGGGTTCTAACTCATACAGAATGTAGATTTACAAGGCAAAGAAGACATTCTCTGAAAAATGGCTGCAGAAAATGTGTTTCTCTAACAGTGGAGCAGCTTAGATAGGACAATGATCCGCTGTTTCTCCAGTCTTCTTCATTAAAAATATGACATTTCCAGAACATAATGTAAATGCACAATAAGTCTAGAAAATGTCAATTTCAGTTTCCCAAGGTGACAGACACATGAATCAATCAATATGAATGATTTCTAAATGGGCATATTTCTTACCCCACCCCCTACAAGCCCAATAATAATACTGTCATAATAAAAATGCTGCTTCTGAAGCTGTTTATTCTGGTTCACTAATGTGGCCCTGGTGAGTTTTAACTTCCTGTTCTCTGTATCTTAGACATTTCTGCTTTGTAAAAAATGTCATTTTTCCCCTTTCTGAGCCAAATCTTTTTGATATATATTTTTTTCTGTCTTAAAGTACCTGAATTATAAACTTTCATCTGAAGCAAGGTATTTATCTCACCTTGAGTCTTGGAAGATCATTTTGCTAGACAGCTGAAGGGTGTTATATTTCAGATGGGAGGTGAAGGAGAGACAGAGAGAGCTCATGTGCACTCTGGGTATGGAGGCAGAAGCACTGGTTCATGACTGCTACCAATGCACAGCTCTCCCAGCTCTGCATCCAGGATGTTATGATGGGAACTTGCAACTGTCTACATGAGGAGAGATCACACTGTAGAAATCACAAATGCCCATGACAATCACTGTTATCCTTCCTATGAGCTGATTTGAAATGCAAAATTTACCAATGAGTACACACCTCCTCAGTTGTCTCCTGGTTTCAGAGGATGCTCTTGAAATCTCTTGTTAGTTGGTTCTACTTTTGGAAGTTCTTACTTCGTCCACACCAGCACACAGAACTGCTTTGATTGTATGTTCTTAAGCAATAAAAAACTTGGTGCATCGGTTGATGTTGTGCAGTTGTATGTGTCTGGTTGTACATTTCTTATTAAAGTTTCCTATTTAATATTTTTATACTTCCTGAGTCTATTAATTAGTTCCTATGTATCTTTGTATCTAGTCACATACAGAATTCATCTTTATTCACTAATTCTCAGATTCTAGACATATCAGCTATTGATTCTTTCACATTCTATGTATTCAACTCTTTGAGATCTGAATTTGGTCAACTTTGGACTTTCTAATTTCACCTGCACATATTTTAAAAACGTTGACTGCTGTCAAAACAGTATAAATTCTAAGCATATAAAACCCTTTTGTTTTTGCCCATGGCTTTGTCTCTGTGTGTGTTTGTGTGTGAGGGGGGAGGGGAGGTGAATGTGGGTGCATGCCATTGAGTGCTTGGTTCAGCAAACCAAACTAAATTCAGGTTTATCAGGCTTGCATGGCAAGAACTTCAGTCACAGAGCCATTGTGGAGCCAGTTTTTATTTACTTTTAATCTTCTGATTTTTTAATTCCTTCAAGTGTGCTTAACTACAATTAACATAATATGTGAACCATTTTTTGATAATGTTTTCTTTTCATTTTTAAAACTAAAATTCTATGGCTTGGCCAACGAAACTGTTAATTAAGAAAACCTGTTGTCCTTGCTTATTTCTTCTTGGTTTCCATCTGTTCGTAAAGCGTGTTGATAATTGTTACCAAACACTCTCTCTGCTGGTCCCACTTCCTGACTCTCTGGGGACCCAATTCTGTAACTAGTTGTCTTCTAAATCTTTCCTCTGGCAGCTTCTTATTCTGGGTATATTGTGTGTGAGTGTGCAGGAATGTGTGCACTTCCATGTGTTGACACACACATGCACAAACACATACTTGCATATTTAGTTGGAACTGTTATCTGAGAACCTGAAGCATGGAAAATGGAGCATTTCCCTCCTGGTAAGATTCAGACTTTTTCTACCAGGAGATACTGGTAGAAACATGGAGATACTGATTAGGATAATTTGAGTCTCTCATTTTATTCATTCCTGGGTAGAACAGAAGTACAAATTTGAATTCTGAAGCTTAATGACATTAAAGCTTTTGGTAGAGTTTCTCAGAATTAATGCTGTTAATGTTAGTACTGTGCTATATAGCAGTCCATTTTATTAATCCTTTCATGTATTCATAATTGGCTCATATTCACTCTCATTACTCTCTCCTACACTTCTTCTTGCTTATTTTTTTCTTCTTTCCGAGTCCCCAGTGACCACACTGCTTATTCCTAAACTATAATTTGTTTACAATCTTCTGGTTTCTCTTGTCCTACATTTTCAAAGTATTTTGTGTCGCCGAATCCTAATTTCAACTGACGGTATAAATCTAAGGGGAAAGTTCACTAAAGCTTTCACATCATCAATCTCAGACTCGTGTGTGTGTGTGTGTGTGTGTGTGTGTGTGTGTGTGTGTGTGTGTGTAGACCAAAGGATAAGTAGTGATCTTCAGGATTAGTCCATGTTAATTTTTGAGTCAGGGTTACAGAGTGTACCAGGCTGGCTGACCAGCAAGTCCTAGGAATCTGCCTCTCTGACTCCCCAACGTTAACTCATGGACACATTCCTCTAGGTCTAGCTTTTTTCTTCTGTTCAGTGATCAAAGGAAGATCCCCATGCTCGCAAGGCAATGACTTCAGTGACTAAGCCATCTGACCATCCGAAGCTTGGATGAAACTATCCGTGTGCGATAGAAGCTACAAGGACATTCTCTTCTAAAGTCCCTTCAGGAACTTTGCAGTTGGACTTGATGTTCATAGGCCCCTTCACTTATGGAAATCAGCACAATGGTGGCATGTATACAATGAAGACTAAAGAAAGATGCCTAAGTGTTAGAGTGCCAGATTGTTCTCTGCTTATGACACTTTCATATCAGATATCATGTAGGAGTCGTCTGGGTTATGATTGAGTAGAGAAATCAATAAACTTCCCCACTCTACTGAATAGAAAACACTTTCCCAAAGCCAGATGGCTTTCCTCCACACCCAAAATGCTGTTAGGATAATGATTTGGGATCACCATCAAGCTCAAATCTGTGGTCTGTGAATGACTGCTACCTGAAAATGAAGGGAGCCCTATGAGTATCTGGCCCATGATCAGAGAGACACAGTTAGCCTGAGAGAGACAGAGGAGGGTGGGGCAGGTGCTTCACAGGGTAAGCTCTGTATTCACAAACCTAATGACTGGGTTTAATCCCCAAAGCCCACCTGATAGAAGAGAATCGACTCCTAAAAGTTTTCCCCTGGTTTCTACACATGTGCCATGGCACGTGTGCCCCCTCCTCCCAAATAAACAAATGCAATTTTTAAATTAAAAGCAGAAGGAAAGAGAGCAAAAGAACGGCGGCCAGGCTTCAGAGCAGCACGGAAATGTGGGAAACAAGAATGGTTTGGACAGAAGTGAGCACGTGAGAGGCATGGCACAGACGAAGCAAGGGGAGGGCAGAAGTGGGTGCTCAGACCTGATGACAAATGCCACCCACTCCTCGATTTTAGAAAAGATTACTCCGAGGGACACTTTCGACTGTAAAATAAAGATCTGCAAGCATTTTTCACAGTAGATTCTAAGGGGAAAATGCGTATACAGTTTGTCTCAGGTTTCTTCAAGAGCATTCCTTT